GGGAAGTTCTCATACACCATACTTGCTGATCTTACTTGTAATTTGTTTTGTTTCCGTAAAATTTTTATAAAAGCTCAAATACACAGGAAAATAAACTGCACTAACATCTCATATTCACAAATAGAAAACAAGTTAACATTTAAAACACATAAGTGATGTCGATGTGAAGAGAAAGCAGAACTTAAAAATGGTAGTAGAATGTAAAGGTATTAAAAAGGCATCTGAGTTTAAACTGAAGATTGGGCACTGGATGAAGAAAACCAAGCATTGGGAAAACCAGCTCCCTTCTTACAGAATAAAAAAATCCTACCAAAAACACAAACGCATCTGGTCCAAAGCATATTCATTGCTACCCTATGCTCCCAGTGCCAACATGGTCAGTCACAACAAACTAGAAATGGAAATGAGTAACCACGGATATGATATTCATGAGAAACCAGCTTCAATACCTCAGAAATGAGATAGCTGATCTGTGGTCCAAGTGACAAGAACCCCTGATAACGTTCGCGTCCAGATATTACGTCAAACATTCTTGGGTGTCCAGGTGTAGTTACAAACGTTAAGTGGATCAATCACAGGGTTAGGATAGTTTAGGACATGTATGCAGAAGACACTGGATGAAAATCAGCCACCATGGCCAGGCATCAGTAAGGCTAAGAACCAATTGAACCAATGGACTGTCAGGTCAGCTGTGGACCCACGAGAGTTTCTGTTTGGAAGACAACATACATAGCCCTGATCTTACATAGGACTGGCATGGAACGTAAAATTTAAAAAAACACTTAAATACACAGAAAAACAAACTGCACTAACATCTCATATTCACAAGTAAAAAAAATTACTTTAAAACCAAAGTGCGATCTCTCTGAAGAAAGCAGAACTAAAAATGGTAGTAAGAGCCAAGGTATTAAAAAGGCATCTGAGTTTAAACTGAAGATTGGACACTGGATGAAGAAAAGAAGCCACTGAAAAACCAGGCCTTCTTAGTCAATAGAAAAAACCCACCCAAACACAACGCATCTGGTATAAGCGTACATACACATTGCTACCCTAAATCCAGTGCCAGACATGGTCAGTAAGAACAAACTAGAAATGAAAACTAGTAACGATATTCATGAGAAACCATCTTCAGACCTCAGAAATGAGATATCTGAGGAAGGTGGTCCAAGTGACAAGAAGGGATACAGTTCGCAGCCAGACAATACGTCAAAGTCTTGAAACCCAGGCCTTACAAACTCAAGTGGATCAATCACAGTAGCGATAGTTTGGACATGTATGCAGAATGGAAGAAAATCAGCCACCATGGCAGGCATGTAAGGCTAAGAACCAAGGAACCAGACCACCAGGGCGACCCACGGTCCGGTAGGAAGACAACATCCGATAGTCCCTGATGGACATAGGACTGGCATGGAACACACCCAAAAAAAAAAAAAAAATGCTGATAGAGAATTCTTGCGATCTCTCTGGTAAACCTCTACACCCCAAGGTAGGAGAGGAACTAGTAAGTAAATAGAAAGACTGCAAGAGCGACCAGAAGAGATGAAAATCAGGAATGTAGTCAATAGAGAAAACGTCAAAACAAAACCAAGTCTAAATAACATACACAAGGAAATAAAATCCTTTGCCCACTTGGAGAGAACACCGTGCAACACAATACCATACATGGCATACACCAAAAGAGGAGAGGGACGTTGAGCAATAGGTCGGCCAAAGAAGTAGAAGATAAGCTTCAGGAAGAAGAACAAAAGCACCAGAAAAAGAAGTTGGGGGCGCCAGAAATGCAAGACATAGAAGAATATCTCAGTGAAGTACAAAGAAAAGCGATACAAGAGAAGTGAAGAGAAAGAAGAAAAGAAGAAGAAGAAGAAGAAAAGAAGAAGAAGAAGAAGAAGAAGAAAAGAAAAAGAAGAAGAAGAAGAAGAAGAAGAAGAAGAAGAAGAAGAAGAAGAAGAAGAAGTAGAAGTAGAAGAAGAAGAAGAAATGAAGAAGAAGAAGAAGAAAAAGAAGAAGAAGAAGAAGAAAGAAGAAGAAGAAGAAGAAGAAGAAGAAGAAGGAAGAAGAAGAAGAAGAAGAAGAAAAGAAAGAAGAAAGAAAGAAGAGAAGAAAGAGAAGAAAAGAAGAGAAGAAAGAAGAAGAAGAAGAAGAAGAGAAGAAAGAAGAAAAGAAAGAAAAAAAAGAAAGAAAAAAGAGAGAAAGAATGAAAGAAAGAAAGAAAGAAAGAAAGAAAGAAAGAAAGAAAGAAAGAAAGAAAGAAAAAAGAAAGAAAGAAAGAAGAAAGAAAGAAAGAAGAAAGAAAGAAGAAAGAAAGAAAAAAAGAAAAAAAGAAAGAAAGAAAAGAAGAAAGAAAGAAGAAAAGAAAGAAAGAAAGAAAGAAAGAAAGAAAGAAAGAAAGAAAGAAAGAAAGAAAGAAAGAAAGAAAGAAAGAAAGAAAGAAAGAAAGAAAGAAAAGAGAATTATCTTACACTAAATTGGTTTTTAAAGAATTCTTTGTCTTTTGAAAGTATAAATCCAGCCAAATCACCAACAGACACGGCAGTCGATTTGTCAGCTGAATTAACTGAGTTGTTATAGATTCCAGGTGAGCTGGTGTTGCCTGTCACCCCACCCTCTTCCCCAGTCTTGTCTGTAGATTTACCTGTTTAAAGACAACAGAAATAGTTTTCAGTCGATTGATAGGTAAATACCTTCATGGCTTCAGCTTGACCATACCGTTGTCTAGATTTATAAAACATATTTCAGTCTGGACAACAGACCAATGAGGTAGATGCCAGACATCCCGTTCAACGTCTAAAGGGGTTATAAGGGCATACGCAATGCTACAATAGCTGGACGTAACCCAAATTCTTTTGCCGTTAAAAGTACGTTTTTAACGTATTTAGGCGTATTGGAAGTGTATGGCTAGACCTATGTTTTATAGACTAAACGGCACTTGATGAGTGATGTGGTCAGCATCACGCCGGCCGCTTTTACTTCCAAGTACTGTACCTGGTACCTATTCAAGGCTGGGAGCCAAGGCCATCTTTGAAAGAAAGTCCGACCCCCATCACGGCCCCAACCCATGATCTTTCTATCTGCAGGCGAGCGTCTAGCCACTAGACCACGATGACTTCCCTTCCTTCGCAGTTAGGGACGATAATATTCTCAGCTAGTTAGATGAAAATTTGACAACAATATACGTGACATGTGTGCATTCATCAAATGGTAAAGCTAACATAATAGCAGATTCTACACTTGGGATGCGTCCTGCTAATAGACTGGTTTATGAGTAGTTTAACTGGCCTGCTAATAGCCAGTCTATCCAGCTGGTAGTTAGACCGTCCTAAGTGATCAGACTGTCCTGCTAGTAACCAGACTGTCCTTCTTACAAGCAATCAGACCGTCCACTAACGAAGTAGTCGCACTGTCCGCTCTACCAGTAGTCAATCTGTCTTCCCTACGAGTAGTCACACTGTCAGCTCTACGAGTAGAGAGTTTGTCCTCCCTACGAGAAGTCACACTGTCAGCTCTACAAGTACACAGTCTGTCCTCCCTACAAGTAGTCACACTATCCTCCCAACTAGTAGTTGAACTGCCCTGCTAGTATCTGGATAGGCTGGCTATAACATGTTTCAAAAGTCGAGCTCACTTTAATAATCTGTAACATCTTAACAGTGTATATAAATTGCTGAGCTTTTGGCATACACACTTTTAAAAATCATATATTTGTGGGAAAATAATTATAATGCAAACAATCATAAAGATTTCATTTTAACTTATTTGCTGTGTTGATGTGTGTATGTATACACCTCCCACCCCACACAAATATATATATATATTAACATACATACGTTTAAAGCATACAGTTAGCAAGTTTACAGTTAACATAGCGATGCATATTTTGCAAAACATCAAACTGCACATGTATTAGAGGTAATACGTGCAAGTTGCACTTATTTTGAATAGTGAATTGGATACATGATGTAATTTCTTAATCTCATTTACATAATTCTAACTCAGTTCATAGTTATTTTCAGTTCATAGGTACCTTCTCTCAGGTAGCCAATTTTTCCTGTACTAACCTCTAATGAAGTAGATAAACACATTTCATTGTATGTGGAGTAAACTATCAAAATAATCACCAGGCATTGCGGCACATGTGACATGATTTTCAAAACGTTGCTGTCCGTTGTTTTATATTACATTTTTTAAAAGTAAAGTAAAGATCCCTTTTCCCGCCCTTCGGCGCATCGGGCATAGGGCAGAGCGTCCCATATTTTTACAGACCATCAGCACTCTGTGGGTAATGTGGTCAGCATTACGCCGGCTGTCTTTACTTTCCCAGGACAGCCCATCCTGGTAACCCATTTTAGGCTTGGTCGACCTGCGACGTCCCATACCACGATAAAAATCCGCGCAGCCTGCAGTGGATTTCGATCGCGGTATGCTGGCTTACGAGTCGGACTCGCAACGCCTTAGCCACGGACGCCGCATTACATTTTTTAGGACATACAAATAGTAATTTTAAAACTTTTTGTATACAGCTATAAATTATTATTCTGCACAAAAATCAAAGTAATTCGCCTATTTAAATAACGGGTAGCACCTTGATTTTGTCCGCATCCTTGTCCGTGTGAGTTCCAGCTCCATTTTGAGGTTTTAAAAAAAGGAAAAACCTATAAACCCTAACAAGCATGTCATAAGAGGCGACTAATCTGGATTACTTATTTTAAAGTTGAAGTGTGTACCCCTGACAGGCAAGAAACAAACAGTCTGCATACAGCTAAGACAGGTATGCAAATCCTATGTGCATATTACAATTCTGGAATAAGAAAAGTTTCCAGAAGCGAATAAACAACCAGAAGTAGAAAAAAAACCAGAAGCGAAAAACCAGAACTGGAAAACCAGAAGTGGACGAACAACCAGAAGCTGACGAACAATTAGAAGGGTAAGAACTGCCAGAAGTTGACGGACAACCAGAAGTGGACAAACAACCAGAAGTGGAAGAACAATCAGAAGCGGACGAACAACCAGAAATGGACGAGCAATAAGAAGTGGAGATGACAATTCAAAATGGATTAGAAATTGACGAACAACCACCAGTGGGCAGACAACCAGAAGTGACAAACAACTAGAACCAGACGATGAAAAAGAAGCGGACGAACAGCCAAAACTTTCTACTAGAGAACATGAAGAAGTAGAAGATCTACATCCTGCTACCATGCCTTGTGTGTCCAGGATCTTATAACTCATGACAAACATTAACTGCACAGAGAACGCAAAGTTTAACAAAACGAACAGTTAAAACACTCTTTAGCGAGGTGGCAAACCTGGTGTGGTTTGTTTGGAGCTACCATTGTCGTCTGTTATAGGACGGTTTCTACCAGCCCAAGCTACTTGAGAATTGGTGTTTGTCTCCCCTTGTTCCTCCTCCGTCGTCTGTGAATGCAAGACCAGTAAATAGTCGAGGACATAAAAATGTGCCAAAATTAACGACATTTTAAAAAAGGATTACAGATGAATGGATCATCATCATCAATCAGCAAGTCCCTTACAGAACGTCGCTCTCTTCACCGCACGCCTAAAAGTATCCCTTTGCCTAGCCAGCTCTCAGGTCTCATATGCTTTCAATGCCAATTCTTCTTCAATGTCCTGTTTCCATCTTCGCGGTGGTCGACAACTGCCTCACCTTCCTCAAACTGAACCACCCATCACCGTCTTTTTCAAGCCACCATGACGCTTGGTGAATGGATGCCAATTTGAAGGTTAATTCTGAAAGGAAGCTTCTTCTTGTTATAAGCCATTCCGATATGACGCTGGCAGTCATGTTCATTCACAAACTTTTGTCTCGTGTTACCTTCAATAATTTCTGACACAGATAATTTTCCAAGCTATGATGTCAGACGAACCAGTCTCTTCTCTTTCTGTTTCTTTCTGCCTCTTTTCCTCTCCAAATATTGCACTGTCATGACGAACTCCAGTTTTCTCCTTCTCATAAATTGATCACAGAATGTAGACTGACTCGAAAGAAGATACAATTTTAAACACTCTAGCTATACAATACTTCGAGTAAACTGATCTGTGAGTAAACTTCATTTGTGGAAGTAATCCATCCAGCTAAATTAGATTGTATATTACTTGATAAATGAATGTAAAATGTTTTGATATATAAAAAAATTAACTGCAGTATGAAAAAATGAATGCAAGGAAGGACCGAATGTAAGATGGGCCTGTGTGCCAAATTATTAACCCTTTGAAAATAAACTCTTTCCTGACCTCAAGATGAAAACCACAGCTGCGATGATCACAGCCACGACAGCCACACCAGCCACACAGCCCACAATGATTCCGATCATCTCTACATTTTCCGGATCTGCAGGTTTTCCAGCACCTAAAGGTGGTGAGTACAACATAGTTTATGGTCGCAAAGCCGAAGTAATCAAAGGTAAGACTGCATCATAAACTTCTAGGTACATTCTTTATTGATCATTAGAAAAATTATGCAATCGCCCACAATAGTTGCGTCATGTGTATGTGTGTGTGTGTGTGTGTGTGTGTGTGTGTGTGAGTGTGTTTGTTTGAATGTACCGTAATTAAATAAACTAGTAGCGTATATCATTTGGAGGCAACTTAGATGTAGTTCTTGAGAAGAATGTTGCGAATTCCTTGGATTGCCAGAATAATTAACAATGATTGCATGAAAATGGCTAATAAAAGTAGAACCTTATATACAACCGCAAGAAGGAGACAAACAAAGGTCTTTGGTCATGTGACAAGAAAAGGAGCACTTGAAATATTGTGACGACTGAAATGATCACTGTTAAAAGAGGCAGACAAAGAGAGATGATGGTGGATGGCGTAAGACAGTGGCGTGGAGGAATATCATCAGTGGAACTGATCCAGAACACCAACGACCGAGATATGTGGAGATGCATGAACGCCTATGCCAGCTGACAAGGCACTTGATGATGGGGAGCATATATCTTACAAACTAGAGCCACTCAACATTTGTAAATGTCATTTTCGATTTCAGCACTTCAGCATTAAATACGATCAACTCTTATTTCCCGTTCATGTTTGTTGTTGACTAGTGTTACTAGTTATTCCAACAGAAGTACAGCAATGATGCTAGCAAAGAAGCAGATGTTCTACATTTCAAGTTAATGTACTGTCGGAGCTGTCACACATAAGCACTCATTTCCGACTATCCCAGCATTCTGATTCTCTAGTCCTATCTTGCAGAGCGCGTCGGACATTTATAGAAAGTTACATATAAGAATAGGACGCTTTTTTTTGGGTGCTTTTTTTAAATATAGTGCTGGCGTCATATTTTCTTGACCATTTGAAGCTCTATGTGTGAAGTGTTCAGTTTCACACTGTTTATCATAAGGTATAGGACATTTCCTATCATTCCACCTGGGACACTGTTGGAATTAATCATATTTCTAAACTTAACGGTGATTTGAACACAAAGTGACTAGGTCGACATGTAGGTCTACTAACCACTGCATCACGGGTTCCCTAATATGGACTTCATACTAAACGACAGCGGGGCTAGACAGGTGTCTGTACAGTTTCAAAGATTATGAAACTTGGCAAATATATATGCTATTTTAAGACAATGGGGTCTGATTGAAATCTATAAAACCCAAAGACAATGGAAATCGACAAATGTATATGATATTTTAAGACAAGGGGTCTGATTGAAATCTATAAAACCCAAAGACAATGGGAATCGACAAATATATATGATATTTTAAGACAAGGGGGTATTTTAAATCTCTATAAAATCCAAAGACAATGGAACTATACAAATGAATATGATATTTTAAGACAATTCAGTCTGATAGATCTCTATACAAACTAATGGGAACGGAACTAGACAGACTCCTTTGCAATCTTAGACTAAGACCATGGAAGTAGAAAGATTTCTATACCATTTAATAACACTGGAAATATGTAAAACCGAACGAAAAGAAAACTGCCGAGATGTGGCTTAACAGGGGAATGATGAGAATACACTGGACAGATGAAAGGAGTGATGAAGACGTCTTTAAAAAAATTACTTACGAAAAGAACAAATTGCCCACATCATAAAGAGACTACATTATTTGGTCATGTTATGAGAAGGGGAAAACTGGGGTATATAGTGACAATAGAAAAGCTAGACGGGAAGAGAGGCAGAGGGAGACCAAGAGAAAAGAGAGGCAGAGGGAGACCAAGAGAAAAGAGAGGCAGAGGGAGACCAAGAGGAAAGAGAGGCAGAGGGAGACCAAGAGAAAAAAGAGGCAGAGGGAGACCAAGAGAAAAGAGAGGCAGAAGGAGAACAAGAGAAAAGAGAGGCAGAGGGAGACCAAGAGAAAAGAGAGGCAGAGGGAGACCAAGAGAAAAGACACTGGGATAAGTTCGATGTCTCTTTGAAATGAAACAATAAAAAATCTTCAATGCGACCCAGCGTTCATGACAATGATGACGGTAAACTTGATAATGATTTTTAAACACATATACGCATTTTTTCCCTGTGTTGCAGAGCTGTGCAAGTGCTAAGATTTCCTTTAACTAGTCAAACTGCAGACCTCAGAATATCTCTAAGAATAGAAACATTATAATACCAAAACGCACACACGATGTGTCAATAGAAATTATTCGCATTTTAGCTGTATTTATTCAGTTTTGTGCTTCATTTTATGTTGATGTAACTGTAGTAATGCACCTGACGAGATACAGCGAAATATGCCTGGCAATAAATTGTGCAATGTATTGTTTTTGTCCGAATTATTTAAAAACATTAAAATAATCAAAAAAAAAAAAAAAAAAAATTAAAGAGATGATATATGCTATATAAATAGGTCCTTGGACCATTTTTAAGCCACGAGGATTTGAGGCTTCTCTTGGCAGAAAACAAACATGAAACAGTAACCTACCTTGTTTACATATTGTCGGCTCGTAGCCGCCCTCACATCCAAACGTACAGACACCTGTCACAGGGTGACACGGAGACTGGTTGCTTGTGTTTCCGTTTACACATAAACTGCTGCAGCTTGAGCTACAACCTGGACCGTACTTTCCCGTCTCACAAGCTGTGGAATTTTAATATATTTACTGAAGGCATGTATAAATCCTATACTGATAAAAAGAAATGAATCATAGACGGTCTTCTTCATAGACATTTAGTAAATTAGTGAAAACTTATCTGGAAGCTGCCGAATTTTTTTTAAAATTTTCTATTCGAATAATAAGAATACCCTGGACAGAAAAAAATTATAAAGATGTCTTGAAATAAACCTACTCACGAAGAGAACTGATTGCCCACATCAGAAAAAAACAGTCTACATTTTTTTGTCATGTGATAAAGAAAAAACATGGAGTAGATAGATGGTGACAGTCGGAAGGTTTAAGGGTAGGGGGTTCTAGGGGTGGGGTAAAGAGAGGCAGGAGAGACCGAGTGCTGCTGCTGCTGCTTCTTCTTGTTCTTCTTGTTCTTGTTCTTGTTATTGTTCTTGTTCTTGTTCTTCTTCTTCTTCTTCTTCTTCTTCTTCTTCTTCTTCTTCTTCTTCTTCTTCTTCTTCTTCTTCTTCTTCTTTTTCTTCTTCTTCTTCTTTTTCTTCTTCTTCTTCTTCTTCTTCTTCTTCTTCTTCTTCTTCTTCTTCTTCTTCTTCTTCTTCTTCTTCTTCTTCTTCTTCTTCTTCTTCTTCTTCTTCTTCTGCTTCTTCTTCACCTCTTCGTTTATCGCTTCGGTTGTCGAGGGCGAAAAACGGTTCTGCTTGTGCTCTTCTGCTGTTGTAGAGCTTCTTTGATGTTATCTTTCCATCTTGTCCTTGGTCTACTTTGCGCTCTATGTATTTTACTCTTTTGGTTTATACCTTGTAAGGTATGGTGTCACAAGGACTAAGTCTGTAAATCATTGATTTGCTGTCTTTGTGTGCAAATTATAACTGGTTAAAAAATTCTATAAAAGCCCAGACTAGGTCTATGTCCTGAGTGGGGTAAACCAATGAAATTGGCATTTCTAGAACTGGACAAAGTATGATGTGGCCTAGTGCAACAATGGTCTATTGAAATATGAAG